CCAAAGCTCTTTTATTTAAGATCTCTTGCTCTACCTTAGAGGAGATCTTTTAATTTTGTTTTGACCTGAAAAAGCCTAGAGGAGAGGGAGAGAGAGGGAGAGAGAGAGAGAGGATTTTGTGAGGGGGAGCTTGTGAAGAGAATTCACAAGTGTTGATCCAAGTATTGTTCCACTTCTTCTTCCACTAGAGTCTCTTGTTCTTGGAAGGGTTGAGAGAGGTGAGCTTCAACAATCGATCAAGGTTCTTTGCCTGTTTTAGGAGTAAGCAAAAGGAGTTGGGTTCTTTGCCTCGCCGGGGTTGGCAGAAATGAGTTTTTGTGAGGGCTTCTCCGCCTTGCTGTGGGGTGAAAAAGGAGAGTCACTTTTGTAGTGCAATACTCGGAGGGCGCCTCCGGGGAGTGGATGTAGGTCGAGTTGACCGAACCACTATAAATTCTTGTGTTCTTTTTCTACTGCTTCCGCAGTTATTTTTACACACTTTGATTTACGTTGTGGTGAATCTTGGTTTGAGTTTTGTGTTTTAATTGTAAGAATTTTTAAAATACCAATTCACCCCTCTCTTGGTTAGTCTTGGGCAGGTTCATAGGCCTTAACATCCCTAATGAACTTTCAAAATCGAGAGGGGAAGTCACAGGAACAACAACAGCCAGCAGAAAACCGAGAATACAAAGGGAAAGGGAAGAGACACAAGTCCACTTCACAATAATGAGCTAAATATAGAAGAATACATTTTTGATTTTATGAGCTAGGAAGTATATTTACTCCACCAATTAATGAGCTAATCTTCAACTCAAGCATGAATGAGCTAACACCAAGTAGAACCCAATTTTTAAGCTCAACACCAAGCAGCCAAAGTCCAGCCCGTGACAGCCAAGGCCCTAAACCGAGAACAACAAGCAGCCCAAGGACAAGGACCCAAATGCAAGCAAACCCAAGGCTTGCTATGCCCAAGCACTTCCTACCATGATCATTGGATGCTCTCCATCATTGGATAGCTTATAAAACACATAAAATACAACTAATATTGTTCAAAATACATTAAAACAAAATAGATTAAAAACATGAATGCATCAAAGTACATTTCTCATATGAAGAGCTACTTCACTGAATAATTGCTTATTAGTTTTAAATCCTTGCAACAACAACACCACCAAGTCTTTATCCCATCACGTAAGGTCAGGTATAGATGAATAATTTTTCTCTGCTATGTCCTATTAAAAGTCAAATTTGAGTATAAAATTAATAAAAAAATTGTTATTTTTAATACTTTCTAACAAAGTCTTTTTAGGTCTACCTCTAAAGTTTTAAACAAAGGCTAGATCAAATACCTCTCCTAATAAGGTTATCAAATGGATGACATTTTATGTGATAAAAAATTCTATGGCAGCTCTCTCAAATCTTATCTTCAATTGGAGGCAGTTAAAACATTTCATGTTCATACTCATTTGGCATACTATCTATAAGTGTTAAGCCACTCATCCACCTGAACATCCTATCTCTACAACACTTTATAACTTAATTTTATGATTCACTTTTAATGGCCAGCCTTCTATGCTATAAAGCATTGGATGTCTCACTAACATCTTATAGAATTTTTACTTAAGTTTGAAGGGTACTTTTCCTTCACTTTAGGCTTGATGGATTCCTCCATTTCAACCATCCAACTTGAAATATATGTACTAATAATAACCTAGTCTATTTCACCATCACTTTAAAACTCAAGAAATCTAAAACATGTATTATTTTCAATGACTTGATCACCAAAACACATTATCCTCGCTAGATCTATTACTACTAAATTAAAACTCCATATATTTAGCTTTAAATTTACTCAAATAAAAACCTTTAGACTCTAAGATTGACCTCCCTAATTTATTTTTTCTTTTAACTCCCTCACTAGTCTAAATAATAAGAAGAATATCATTAGCAAAAAAGCATACATTAAGGTACATCATCTTATAAATATTTAGCAAGATCATCCATGACTAAAACAAAAATATATGGGATTAAATCTGATCCTTGATGTAATCCACAAAAAAATATATATTTTAGGAAAAGTAACAACTAAAGCATATAAATCCTTAATGACTTGAATATTAGCAATATTAACTCCTTTCTTTTCTAGAACTCTCCAAACCGCTTCTCTCGAAATTTTATCATATGCTTTGTCTAAACCAATAAATAGTATATGCATATCTTCTTTGCTCACTCTATACTTCTCCATCAAACCTCTCAATAAATTGTATAGGTTTCATAGTAGACATACTCAGCATGAATTCAAATATATTTTAAAAATATTAGTATAACATTATAACAAAAAAAATAATATATATATATATATATATATACATATATAACAAATGCTTAATTACTCTCTCCCATGATTTTAATGTATGAAATATTAACTTAATTCCTCTATAATTCATATTCTTATGCATCACCTTTATTTTTAAAAATAGGAACCAATGCATTCCTTCTCTACTCATCTCACATCTTTTGTCTTCAAAATAATATTTAAAAATTTAGTATGCTGAAAAATTCCATCATCTTTAAGCATTTCCATATCTCTATAAGAAAATCATTAGGTCTAACTACTTTTTTACACTTCATTTTCTTTAAATCCTCCGTAACATCAATTTTACTAATACAACAATAAAAATAAAAATCTCTATTTTTTTATCATGTTAAAGTCACTAAAGTCAATGTATTATTATAATCTTCATTGAAAAACTTATCAAAATATCTCATCTATATTTGTTGAATATCCTCATCTAAGAAAAGAACTTTTTTTATCTTCATCATTAATGCATTTTTACTTTCTTTTGATTCTTTCTTCTCCTTTTCTTTGCTTAGCTAACTTATACTGACATATTTGTCCCTCCCAAGTATCTAATCTATTACATAAATTCTAAAAGATAATTTTTTTTTTTGCATTACATATTACTTTCTTAGACTCCATATGGTCTCCTCTATATTTTTATCAATTTTTTTTTTTACTTTACATCTAAATCAATTTTTAAAATAAACTTCTTTTTTATCTTTTAGTTTATATTTTAATTCTACCACAAACTATTTTACTATTGGATATTTTCCTATTGATAGTCGAAGCGCATACATTGTAACATTCTTAATATCAATAGCTATTTTTTCTCACATAACATTAGTTTCCTCATGAACAACAAAATTTTGAATTCTTGAATCTTATTCTAAAAAAGATTCTTATAAGCATTTTTTAAATACTCTCATCTAATTCTATGATAATATTTTACACCATTTTTCATATTCCACCTCTTTAAGTTAAAGTCCAACACCAATAAGCAATGCTAAGTTGATACACTTTTACTCAAAATGACTTTATAATCTTTGTAATCTACACTATTCATTTTTTCTTTTAAAAAGATAATCAATCCGAGCTTTACTATATTCATTCTTATATGATGTGAAGCTTCTCTTTTTTTCTTAAATAAGATATCCGCCATTAAAAATCATAAACTAAAGCAAAATCATATATGATCATAACACCTATATTATTCGATCCAAACTAATAGCCACCAAGAATATTTTTATAATCTTCTACCAATATACCAACAAGTCCATTAAAATCCCCTTCAATTTTTTTTTGATGAGATATTATTTATATTATAATTTTAAATCATTTCAAAATTTTAAATTTAAACACAGAATAAGCACTCACATTATTAACAATCATAACATCAATAACAATCTTTAAAATTATAACTCTATCTTTAATTCTAGTAATTTCTACATTCCTTCAAATTCCTATCCATAATCTCACATACACCAATCCTATATCATAGTTTAAATCTAAATATACCTTCAATTCTTTTTTTACCTAGTATGTGTGATCATAGAACTGTGATCTAGATTAGTAAAACATAAATTCAATATTTAAGGGCTAAGCACATTAATATTTGATACATTTCATTTGAGATCACATATCAAACAAAGTTAAGAACATTTTGCTTATGGATGTGGATGTTGTAGACAAAAATAATAATAATAAAGTTATTGATATGATAATATTATATTCTTATCAAAATTCATGAGAATAAATAAGAAAAAAAAAGTCAAAAATAAAAGGCACTTTAATCTTATATAAACTTATGCCGTAATATCCACGATATACTATGTAATTGAAGTTATATTAGATTAAGAGAATATGAGTTACTCTATGTCACAATGAAACTAAACTCTTTTAAGATTAATTACACTTTAAGATACCTCCAATAGTAACTCTTAATAAGTAAAAAATCCTTTTTTTTATTTGAGTTAATTATTAAAGGAAATATTATAATTCAAAGACTATTGATAATAGTAGCATAATTTATGCTCAAATAAATCAATTTGCAAGGTAGAGAGTAAACGACTTTAACAAAGCAAGATAGACATCTTTTCACATAAACTGATTTCCCTAGCAAAACTCATTGAATCATCAAAAACACAATGAATGAATACAATGGTCTTAAATGGATAGCGGGTGAGTAGGAAGTCCAAAAAAGGAGTTAAAATAGCTTTTAGTCATGACTTCATGGATCCATCAACCCCTAACTATCATACTTAAAATCATTTTATTTAGAAAGAAACCAACCCAACTCAACTATTTGATACTTTTTCAACGAGCAAGGAAATGTATCATGAAGAGAGCTTCATGATCCCAAACTAATAAAAGAAAACTTTCCCTAGACAGATGAATTATAAAATGTTGATTGGAGAAGATACAAGACTTACAATCTCTAGCGATGTAGAGAATTACCTATGAACAAAAACTAAATTATTAAAACAATTAGGTGCAACCAAAACTACCTAGCATATGAAGATACCCTTCGGTTTATTAAATTCCATGCCGGTTAAAAGAGTTCTATCCTATAGACCATGATATATAATGTGAAATTATCTGACCATGATATGTTATATAATGCTAATTAATAACTTAGTACCCTAATCTAATTATCTGAAATTTTAAAATAAAAACAGTTAAATTAAATGTAGTGGAATCACTAATTACTTAAAAAATATAAATAGTATATATTTGGTATGAAACAAAAATAGCCACTATTTAGAAATTGCCAATATGCTCTGCAAGTTTTTATTCATGGTTCTTAAATTATAAAAAACGACACAGGAAGTATAATACTATCACTTTTTTTATACAAAATAATCAGGTTATATTTAATTGCCAAAAACTTGCAGAGCATCAATTACAGTAATTGCACCTGGACTCACGAGAAGAATGCACGAATTTAGCTTGTTAACTGGTTCCAGCATCAAATTCCTTCAGCATGTTTGATAGAAGGCTATTTATTTCTTTGCTTTACGATTAAGATAGCGTTCACGGGCTGCCAGAATTCTACTCTCCATGGAATCACCTATGCTTTTGCTGTTTCCTTCTGCGTTGGGTGGCGGAAGCTGTTTGTTCTCTTGTTCAATTTTTCCACTCTCCAAAGCGCCACTTCATGATTGATGATTACAACAAATAAAACGCAAAATTAGAACAGCGTAATAAAAAATAATGAAATTTCAAATGCAGAAAACTTGAGCTTTCTCTGGCAAAATGTCAGAAATATAAAAAAGATATGGACTCCTGAAGGATCTCTTTGATTTGTTGGAGAAGGTTTTGACTAATACCTCAGCTTGTAGATATCCATCTTCTCAAGCTTCTTTAAAATAGGTATCACCCATGACATATCTACTGCACATACATTCCTCATGAAGGGGCGAGAAGTACTTATTAGTTCATGGTAGACAACATAGTCTGGTAACCTACCATCTTCATTAGCTTCCAGCACTGAAGATGGATGAACCTGCATTGTGTGCAAAAGATGTAAATTAAATTATGCTTGGTGCATGCTGGTTGAATATTTTTTAAATAAACTTGTAATGAGTATTGTTGCAGGCTAAAAAATTCGTGGTGGTAGATCAGAGAACATTTTACATACTAGCATTTGCACGAATGTCCATCACATAAATAGATAAATGTGAGACCTTGGGAATACCAGAGATTTTTTTACATGAAAAATCAAGAAACGGAAAAACCATGAATTTTTGCCCAATTAAAGAGATTCCACTATGTATATGTGAATTAAAAATGTTGCTCAATACCCCATATTGGAGATGGTAAAATTACAAAGAGTTCAGGAAATAAGTGCAACTAGTGGCAGTGAACGTCTGGAGGTCGCGAGTTTATAGTGATAGTCAACTGGCATTATATTTGATGATGGCGATCAAGTGAAAACCGCTCAGCTAAAGGCAGATAGCGGAGGTTGGCATGCGACCAGGTCAAAGTCTAACTACGATTTGTAGGTTGAAAGCCTTGTAGCGGTGGCGAGGCAGAGGACCGGTGATCAGCGGCCAAGAGGAGGTTCAACGAAGATGGGTCAGGCATAAGACCTATGAGGGTTTCTGAGCAGAAGTCAAGCAGTCGACAGTAACGCTTAGGTCCATCGGTAATCAGCCGGGCGAAAGTTCGACGACGGAGACTAGGTGAAGGTCTGGCAATCGTTGGTCAACGAGAGTTTGACAGCATTGATCGGATGACAGAGATCCGACGACGACAATAATTCGACGAAGATTTATTGTTGCTGGTGCTCAGTTAGAGCTCTAGGATTATTCAGAACTCAAATCTCTCTCCAAACTCTACTAAAAAGTCTCCCTCATATATCAAGTGGGGCCTACTTATAGATTATTAGAAGTGGCATGTCCCATAAATATATAAAAAAAATCTCATTCTAAAACTATTAAGATTACTCAAAAGTAAATGAAGAGGCTCCATTTGGCTCCAAAAGTGTGAAAATTGAATCTACAATCTAAAAAAATGGTGCAAGGATACAAAAAAATGTCTAAATTTGATTGTCCAGACCAAAAAGATGGTCATGAGGACAATAAACAAGTCCAAGCCGAAACACTAACTTGGGAGCACACACCCCTACCAAAATTCAAAAACAAAAATTGCTTCTAGAAAACTTATTCAAAAACATAAAATACTTTAAAAATATATAAAAAAAATTCAAGAGATCTTTTAGAGAAGGAAATAAAAATATTCATTTTTTCCTTTTTATTTTTTATCTTTTAAATTTAATTTTAGGCTTAAAAATTTCTGAAAAAATTAGACATTTTAAAAACTTTTTGGTAATTCACCCTTCAGAAATCTATAAATAACCACCTTGGGGTGTGGGAAAAGGCATCTCTCTTGTGTTGGTTCAAATTTTCTTCCATAAATTGATAGAAAAGCGAACCGACAAAAAATTTGAGACCGTCAACAACAATCAAAGCCCCATCCTCTTACGCAGGCTCCAGTTTTCTTTGAGAAAATAGGAAAACTATCCGGCAAGAATTGAATATCATCAATGACGATCAAATTCTAGTCCTCTTATGCTAGGTGATTGTTAACACGAATTAAATATCATTGGCGGTCATCAAAGCCTTGTTCACTTATAAAAACTACAATTCTCCATCGTTAAATGAAGGAAAAACTATCCGATAAGAGTTGAATATTTTCGGCGATAATTAAGGTCCGGTCATTTACACAGGGTGATTGTCAACAAGAGTTGAATACTAATGGCAGTGATCAAAGCTCGATCTTCTTACGCAAGCTCTAGTTCTCCCATGTAAAAGGAGAGAACAATTGTCCGACAAGAGTTGAATATCATCGATGGCAATCGAAGTTTGGTACTGTTATGCAAGCTCGAACTCTTTCCTATTAAAGGTGATGATAACCATGGGGGAAAGTGTCATCACTAGTGATTAAAGTGGTGGTGTGGATTCATCAAGAAGGACGCGTCCTTCCTAGGAAAAATATTTTTTTTCTAGGACATTTACGCTCTTCACACAATTATTCTTCTTGTCTATATTAATTTAAACTTTTTCCCATTGAGTTTCTTATAGTGGAATTATATATTCCTTGAATACATCATGATATTTTTTTATGCTTCTTTAGATTGTGGGCCGACAGACACATCAAAAGTCACACAACCTATTCTCGAAGTGTTGGAGCAAGAACGAGACTTTGAGAATACAGAAATAAATAGGGTTTTCTTCTTGAACTTCCTTTCTTTTATTGGATCATACAACCATCTCATGGTCTTCCAGGTTGATGATAGGAGAAGGTCGACTGGAGTGAAATCGATTGATGATATTGCATCCGCTAATACTTTGGATGGCATGACAATTATTCATAAAAGGTTTTATCTACCCAATGACTTCATGATTGTTGCCCTTAAAAGGTTTAACCAAACATGGGCTCCATTACATGGGTTCATTATAGTATATGAGATGACATTACGTATATAGGATTACTGTTTCCTCCGGCTCCAAAGTTGCTTGAGCTTTTCATTGTGAGTGGTGTCTCTTTGCACCAATTTTTGTGTAGAGTTATAAATATCATCATAGGCTTGACAATGTTCCTACACTTGATAAGTGGAGTACATAGGGATGTAGAGAGGATGTACTTCCTTGATAGCTAATATTGTTACCCTTGTTTCAAATAGTGGGATCCTACACTTATCCCTTGAAGATATATTTAAAGAATGTCTACACCGAACGACAATAGGCAAATAAAATGATGAATTATCACAAACTTTTTCTTCTCTTTATTTTGCTTTATATTTTTTAATGTAATTGTTTCCCATTACAGATGATTCAAATGACGGACTTGGACGAAGTTAGATTAGTGGAATTTAGATTATGTGAAAGTTAAATATCTGAAAGTAGAGTATGAGTGAAAGTTAGGCAAAGGTTAAATAAACAAGAGCCTTGAAAAGCCAACTGGCAGGGAGCAAAGCTACACTGGTGACAATGTCTACTTATCTTTCCTTGCAACACCAAGAAGTTGACCATTCTCGTGATGAGTTAATTGAGGCGTGGGAAAAAATCATCAAAATATAAAACAAAAGTGGCAGCAGCGAAGAATGCTCTTCACGACGACGTTGATAAACTCGCCTAACTGGCGGTTGTTGATCGTCATCATCTTCAACGTCATCATAGTAGGTTTCATCATTAGCATTGGCGTGTCTCACCATGTAGACCACCTCCATGTCTAATGTGTTATTTATTTCTTTCAATTATTCTTCTAGATTTCCCTCCATAAATTCATCAATGTTTTCTTCATTATTTTCGTCCCCTTCAAGGTATTCTTATATATTTTCATCATCTTCAAGGAATTCCTCTTCTTCAATGTTGTCTCCCCCTTGCATATTTCCTTCCTCTTATAGTACTTGGATCTCCGAGCAGCGCCTCCACTGGATTTCAGGTTCTTGGTTAGGCACGGGGACTTCTTCAACCAGCGGACTGCTGTCAAAGTTGGTTTCTTCTTTTGAAGTGGATGGAGGGCAACGGTATCCCCTGGAGGATTCTCCAAGGTGTCTACCGTCTGGAGGAATGCCATTATGGGACCTTTTTGGGGCCCACTTCTGACGTTGTTCGTAGATGGGGGAGGATCTCTGGGAAGCCTCACCGGATGTCACGCCCAGATCAGTTCCTCTTTCTCTTCTATCTTTCTCAATTCTTCGAGGCTTTGGCCTCCAGACTTGATTTCCTTTCCACCGGGACCTTTCAGTGGTGGATCCCTGAACATGCGGTTCAGGTGTCACACCCCGATGTTCACCGCGTGGGATATACATCCTTTCTTTCCTCTCCACCACAACAGATAAGCGTTCTCTTGGTGCAGTCCTTCTGGCTTCGACCATCAGAGGTCGTTGGTATCTTCTTTTATTCAATCCCTTCTCCTTTACTATTTTCAGGACTCTGTATACCCGGGCTGAAAGAGTTTTAGGCTCTTTCTTCCTTGGAGGAATTAGGGCTTCAGATCGTTGATCCCAAAAGGATTTCTTCAGCTCACCAGTAGAGTTGTTTCTTTTGACCCACTTCAGATTTGCAAACCCATTTCGGGTTGGAATGTTAGCTTCAGACTCTTGGGCCGACAGATTTGATGGGTGAACCGGGAGTTGTTGATGCTGAGCTCGGAGTTCAGCATTCATCTTCCTTCTTTGCCTCCTTGTAGGCCTTCCTCCAGATGAGGAGGCCTCAGCATCGTATTTCCCAGGTGCAGATAACCTGGTTGACAGAGTGGTGGTGTTGGCAGTCACCACTGAGATTCTTCCGTCAGCCACAATCCTCCTGGTGGTAAGGGCTTCAGGCTGTGATAGCCTCTCGAATACAGAAATTCTCCCACGAGAATTTTCAGCAACAGGTCATTGTGCCGGCAGATGCACACGACGGGTGACAGCTTCATCAACATTGAGTCTTCTAGCAGGCTTCTCAACATTCCTACCATTCACAGGAATGGTGGCATTCCTTGCAGCAATCGCCGGGAAGTCAACGCTACCAAACTGGATGGTAGCTCCAGTGTTTCCAGTCTCAATAACAGCATTAGCCAGCTAAATCATGGCTCCTCGTCCTAGCTGGACAGTCATCGGGGTGTTCTGTAGATCCATCTGCATAAATGAAAGGCAAGGGTTAGTAATCAGAATCTGATATATCACCCCGCACTTTCAAAATGCAGAGACTTGCACAGAACACAAAAATAAGAGCAGATATCATTAGCAAGCAATTCAAATAATACAAATTTAAAAATCGCTAAATGCATTATCTTAATGGAAAATTTTTTTTTGAACAATCATTCTTAGGATACTTAAAATTTCAAGTACAGATCGATATGGACGCTACTATAATACTGAGGCAACTAGCCAAAGATGGAAAGAGAAACCAATCCCTAGCGGAGTCGCCAGAAATCTGTGGAATCCGAAAATTCGGCCCCGGCCTCCGCTCACTTTTTTCCTTTTTATTTGGCGAGGGAGTTTTAACGGATAAGTTCCGGGGTAAATTTTGGAAGGCAGATGGGTTTGTAGATAAGACACTACCCAGAGATTTCGCCCTCATTTTGCGAGGACTTTATGATCTGAGTTCTGGTTTCCTATAGGCACAAGCCCCTATAGTTAATTACCCCTCCCAATAATGAGAGAGAACTTTCGATTAAGGCTAGTAGTCAATCAGATACATTATATCCATAGATATATAGTATCAAGCGTATAGTAGCAGCAATGAGTTTGGAAATAGTTGGAGAATTTGAGAATTTGGAAAGTTTGGATGTTTGGAAATTTGATATTTAAAAATAAAAATTTCACCATCGTGTAGTTAAAGCGGATGGTGGGGGAATGGATGATAGACCCGATCAAGATCCCATGATTCCGTCATCCCGGGCCATCATGGTCCCTGGTCTACTTAGTCAGAGGAGGTAGACCTGACAGAAGGATCCTTGTCGGTAACCATGGGTTGCTTCGTCCAAAGGGACTTTGTAGACCTGGGTTGGATGTTTGTCTAAGGGGACAAATTTGAATCCACCTTAGCTAACAAAGGGCTTTGTGCCCTATCAATCATATCCTATTGATTTATATCTCAAGGATTTAACACCATTAAGGAGCATATTGGCTCTGGCTATAACCGCTATCTGTGGTGCCATTTGGCGGCAAAACCACTCGGTTCAGAGGGCCCCGAGTCATAACCGTTTACCTGAAGTGCCATTTAGCGGTGAAACTGCCGGTTAGAGGACACGTACCACGTCCTTACTAGCAATAGATTGTTTTGAGAATGAATCCTAGTGATATTTTCGACTAGGCATTTAACTCTTTGTGAGCTGAAGTAAACTTTAATTTGTCCGCCCCAACAAATTATTGCGGAGGGTGGATGGATTTTGCTTTAAGTGTGTTGATAGATTGATTTCAATTTTAAATATTTTTGAAATTTTGAATATTTTTTTGGGATTTTGGGTTTTTTAGATTTTTGGAATTTTCTGGGATTTTTGTAGAGTTTTTGGGTTTTTGAATTTTTTTGAAATGGACCTTTGAGAGGCATTTGAAAATATTTGGGAACCCCTCTGGTTGAGATCTGCATTCAACACGGTCATCATCGGGGTGTTAGGGGTTATTCCTCTTTATTGATTGAACCCTATTAACCCTATCAACTTGGCGATAGGAGATCAGGTTTTGTAGGCTTTATGCCCTTATTAGTGAATTCATATTGTTATATGTCTTGAAGGCCTAATATGAATGTTTTAAAGTAAATATACCGGTCGCCACAATTTTATATTTGTTTAATGGTTCGAACCCTGTCGACTTCTATTGAACCGTATAGAAGGATCGGTTTCGAACCTGAATTCACTTGTCAACCCGTGCAGCATCCCTAGACGTCACATGTGTACCAATAACAGGATCATCGGGGCTCATGCGGGTTAAAATTATATTTTCCCCTTTAGTGTACCTATGTGTATACAATTTATAGTGCACGTGTAGGGGTACTTTGAAATAATTATAGACGCCTTATGTCTGCTTGTACGAATGTTGCAGATCCGGTGGCATGACGTTATAGTTTGTGGACGCCTTCTGTCTGCTTGTACGAATGTCGCAGATCCGGTGGCATGGCGTTGTAGTTTGTGGACGCCTTCTATCTGCTTGTACGAACGTCGAAGATCCGGTGGCGTGGCATAGCAGCTTCCGAATAGAATTGTTCGCTGCTTCGTACAGATAGACTGTCGTGCACTAGTTGTTGCTTTATGTTTGTGGATCATAGTGCACTAACGAGTCTCCTGCTTTACATTGTAGAAGCTCGTATATAGCTTGTTGTACACAAAATTAAACTTATCACTGTAACTTATAAGCACTTGGTACTTGATATAGTCGCTTTCTATCTTGCTCGTGGACTACAAGTCTTCTATAGTGGCCCATGGAGACTTGCACTTGTTGAAACTTTTCTATATTCTGCTTGTGGTCAGCTTTCTTAGATACATCTTAAAGAACCAATTCGTTGCTAAGGTTCTTTATGATTTATCTATATTGAAATCACACCTCATTCCTGATTGTTGTTGGCCACTTCATGCGAGCAATCATACTTGGAACTTTATTCACCGTGATGCCTTACTCATTCAAGTAGTCTTGCATTATTTTTGTATTTGATTTTCACTTGTTTACACGGATGAACTATTCTTTTGCTTGTATGTTGATATTCACTCGAATGCATCTAAATGTGCCGCCTTGTTATGTTTATCGCATGCCAAACCTTCCAAATGGTATTTGGTGTATGAATCTTCATGATGTTTGTAGGTTCTATAGTCATTATAGATCTTCCTTTTCAACACAAGTTCCATATACATTCCTTTGTATTTAGCTTGGACCTTTGCTGACATGATAGCATCTTGATGTTGATTGAAGATTTTGTCATGTTGATTAGGAGCATGTCATATTGGGAACTCATTCTACTTGCACTCAAATTAGAAGTTCATCATCTTGCATGTATCGAAGATTTATTTCCATTCGCTTGCTTGTATTATGATATCCATCATAAATTCATCATTGTATATATCACATGTCCTTGCTTGTATGATTAATATTGTTACTTTGTAAAGTTACATGTCACTTATTTGATACTCAAACTATAGCTCAGCTCGCTATCATTTATTCCATATACAAGCTCGAGTCCAGAGTGTAAGTTCAAGTCTAAGCTAAGACTTCTTGTACCAAGCTCATTTGTGTTCAAATTTGAGTTTAAATTATGTTCTCATTTCAACTTTATCTTTCTTAAGTTATAAATCTTTGTATTATGTCCAATGGTCCAAGTACAAGTCCTCTGCGTCTTTGCAAGTTCGATTGCATGTTCAAATTGTTCACTGTTGTTCAATCCGGTCCGAGTTCATAAGTCCCCTGTAGTTCACTTGAATTCGAGCCATTCTTTGTTTCGTTTGCATTCGAACTTATTAGATTGTTTGAGTTTGAATTAAGTCCATTTGATGCTCCAATCAAAGTTCAAGTAAAGCTCCAAATTGTTCCAAGTACAAATTGCATTTACTCAAAATTTCGGCAGCCTTCCGACGTCTCCCCCGTTTAGGTAAAAACTACGAAAAACTGGGCCTCTCGCCACGCTAGAGAAAAACGTGCACGGTAGGTGCCCTCGGAAGAGGACACCGCGGCCGTAATAATTTTATTCCCCACCACGCCAGAGAAAGGCGTGCATGGGTTGCGGGCACCAGTTTAAAGTAAGCAGTTTATATTTGACCCCACCTCGCCGTAGGCGTCGCACCGGGTTCCCTTCCCACCACGCTAGAGAAAAGCGTGCATGAGTACATGAATTTTCATACAAGTCATAAAGTGGTTAATGAATACAAGACATTTATGAAATGAACATACTTCAAACAAATACATTTCCATTAATCTTATTGTTATGATATACACCTTTCTTATGCAATACTCTTCACATCATATAGAAATTCATAGAACTGTTTCTATATATATATATATATATATATATATTATAATAAAATAAAAATCCTTCTCCCCCCCCTTGGCATTTTCACGGGATTTGGCCGAAGGAGGACACGAAAGGGAGAAAGTTACCTTCACTACACGCGAGCTCCTGTTGTTGCTTCCAGTCAAAATGTCGTAACTTCCGAAACAATAGGGAGGGAACAACGTCAAAGGGAGGCGGCGTTAGAGCTAGAGCAAGGTCGGTTCTCTCTCTCTCTCTCTCTCTCTCTCTCTCTCCCTCTCTCTATTTCTGTTTCTCTCTGGATCGGGGCTCACGATCGGGAGCAGGGCAGTGGAGTTCCGAACAAGAGTTCGGTTGAAGGTGTCGGGATCGGAAGATCTAGTACATGGGAAGATGCGTCTTGGAGAGGGAAGAGATCGCCGGCGGGATTGGGCCGAACGACTTCGGAGGAGAGGCGTGGATTTTCAGTTTGGAGTCGAGAGAGTTTCGGCAGTGGAAGTTTACGGGAGAGGAGTTACAGGGTCGGTGCGGTATTTAACGACGCGAGTGGTCTTTCGATCGAGGCAACGTCGCGAGATTTCGACAGATTTCACGGAGAAACGACGCAGACGGCGCCGAACAACGGGATTTGCGGAGGATTTCGGGCAGATTTCGGGGACTCAACAATTTATAGGTATTTTTTTCTGTTTCCTTTGGGTTCATCTGTGAAGGTCAACAACAGCATGTTTATGTTGATAGGAAATTATTATAAGATCAAATAAATAAGAGAGAAACAATGTCAATTATTTACTTGGAAAATAATTTTAACACAGACGAGAGCAGGGTGTCATGAAAATTTAAAATCTCAAACAAAATTATGAAACAATGAAGGTTTTTATCCTCAAAATTTAGCATCTATTAAACTGGCAATACAGAAATGTTATGCAACAAC